CTGGTCAGTCATTGCTCTGTGAGTGGAGGTGATCTGTCAAATATAGAAAAAAACTTTAATAAATAGGAAGCAGGAGTACCAATGCGGGAACCTCTAGGTTTGTGATACAAGGTTTGGCCGGAGAACCTTGAACTGTGTTTTATCTGTGAAGTACCCATTGAGTTTAAAAATATGTATACTCTGCGTAATGTTTAGCTCTTGTTTTTTTACATACATATCTGCTTTCATTCGCACACTCATAGGCGTCTTTTAGTATTTTTGGCAACCTACATATGTTGTGAATGCCTTCACAGAAAATCATTACAAGTAGTAGCGAATGGCGGTAGAAGATCAGCAACTGATTACCGATGTTGCTCGAAGCTGGCCCTTGATTGCGGTGGATCAATAATTTCCTAACATCTTACCTAGATTTTTGATACCAAAGTGATAGGGAGTTCTTTTTCCTACAGTGATCTATCGCGTAAATATGGCATTATTTGCTTTTCTGCGCGCGAATACTGCTTCTAGTATGCGTGAAATATCAATTGTGGCGCTCCGTCAAATTTTCTTTGGTTGTCTTACCCGTCATATCATCGTACAGGAATTACTTCATGTGATTGGTTTGGATGACAAACAGCAATTTATAAATGAGAGGAACTATATGAAGGAACATAATATCACTAGAGGTGCGTTGATTGCGAAGTCTTTTGGATATCAGCAAGTTGATAGTAATTTTTGCAAAGACTCTTCTCATTCACTGCTGCTTCTCTTCCTGTTCCTCCTTCGGGAGAATGCACATTAGAAAGTGAAGTCTTCTTAGGGGACCTCAGGTTTCAACAATGGTTCCCTCTATTTTTTCCCTCAAAACTGGACTACTTCTCGATAGAGCAAACCAAATTACAGGCCCCCGAAACTTTCAAACAAAGTATAATCCACATGGTCTTTGAAACTAGAATACAAGGGGCATCTTCTCACCGTCGATCAAACTATGATCTTGAATTAGCTCCCATCACCATTCTGAAGTGGCTATTCAGAGCATCTCAAGAAGCATGATGTCTATGTGGCCCACTTCAAATGGGTTTGCCAAATGTACGAGTGCAAGGAATGTCCGGCTATGAAGAGCTGAGGGTGCTGACATAAGCTGCTTTATAACAATCAATGTCAGACGACATTACTCAAACAGTGAAATAAATTGGTTCTGTTGCATATTCTTTATTTATCACATAGCGATCGGCTGGATTCTGAGGAGCTTCAAAACAAAAACGCTCCTTTAGGGGCTTGTTGAGCATAAGATAGTTTGCAAGCATGTGTATTTTTTGGTCCACGGATAAACTAGATTTTCAAATTGCTTCAGTTCTTTTTGAAGAGTACTCTTTTCCGCATAGCTCATTACTAGGTAGCAATAGGCTTTTGTGAGAGATTTTGTGACCATATTTCCTACCGAAATCTGCTACAGAACAATTTTATGAAAAATAAGAAGATCATGGTGATCACATAACTATGTGGTTCTATCGTCAATGACTCTTTTTCTCTTGCGCAGTTTTAATTCGAACTCATTCATCAAGTAAAGCATTTTATAAACCGTAGCAAAAACATAGCACTAAAGAGATCCACAAAATACACAAGCTTTTTCATAACTAGAAAGCGATAATGAGGTCCAGATGAACAAGTGTAACCGCCTATGTGGCCTATATGTAATACTCTCAAAACAAGCAATCAAAAATTCTCTCACAATTCTAGGACGAAATTTGTTGAAAATTGTCTCTAAACATCCACACTGTATCAGTGACGCAAAATTCATGAGGAATTTTACAATCACGAAAAAGTCAAAGAATGACAATTTTCCTAATTTACATTATTTCTTGCAAGATTCACTATACTGTACTTGTACTTTGTAAATACACAATGAAGAGGTTCACAGCCACTTACTCACTCCAGTGAAAATCAAAGTCTTTTCGGGTAGACTTAAACCAAGCTTAGAATTTTCTTGGTCTTTATGGCTGTCTCTTTGGCACCACCACTGCAAAGAAATTGCGTTGTATTGGCAGAGATCCACAATTATGGTAGTATTTTGTTTTTTGCATTCCAATTTATCATCTCTTAACAAGTAGAATTATGAGGATGTAAAGGAAAACAACCTGACATAGAGAGCAAACAGGAGCAGATAAGGCTGCAAAGTTGGAGAAATAAATAGAGAGAACCTTGAAGAATTGGAAAACTCATACCATCCAACTAGTCCAAAGATTGTACCAGTTCAAGTGTTTCGAATCCTTATTTATTTTTCAACTTTGTTATCGTTGCTGATCTTGTTATTCAAAGCAAAGCGAGCTCCATGGAACGACATTCGAACATGCGCTAAAAGTTTTTTCAGATGCTTGTAGGCACAACCTAGAAATATTTGTGGCTCAAAAAATCGCATCACTTAATTTGGTCAGTTCAAGCCTCATTAAGCTTGAATTCACTTAGTCCTAATCTCGAATTCTACAAATGTTATGCACACCCCACCTTTGGAGCTATGCTTATCTGCCCAAGAAAATTCACAAATTTAGATAATTTTATCATTGAAAATGGATGGCCAATCAATAACTCAAATGCGCTCAAATCAAATCAAATCAAATCGCCTCAAAATGCCGAAGGAGTACGATATTCGTAATCAGCATTTCAATTAGCCCCCTCAAAGTTTCAGCAAACCATGATTTTAGCTTCCTATGTGTACCCAACGTAAACCCAGAAAATGGCACTATCGCGCAAATGACTGCGGTATTCGTCATCAGCGGCTTTAATAATCTCCATGTACCGACTTTGAGCAAGGTCCATCACAAAAACATTTTGGGGCCGGATAGCCGAATAGCGCCATCAGTTTTCGGAATTATCCTTATTTTTACCGGTTTTATTGCTTTTTTTGCAAAGTTTGAGCTACGGGGCTGGGGTTTGATGAGGGAGGTAGGTGGGCATGACAATTACTAGCACAGCGGGAATAACTGCATGTAGAAGTGGGCACAATGAAAGGTTTTACACGGATAGGGATAAAACCTTAATCATAGCATTGACAGGGCCGAGCGGAGCCGGGTAAACCAGCTAGGCATCTATAACAACGTGTACGGCATAATATAACAATTGAAATCGTTCATCCTCAAGAACATGTCAAGGTTCAAAGATAAGAGGACTTACAACATTAGTTTTGACTTATGATAAGTCGCTAAGACGTCGGTCTGTGAAGCTGCTTTGGGTTGTTTCTTGCCGCACTGACTGCAGCAGACTGCAGCAGACTGCAGTTGCCCGCACTGACCGCGGCGCCACGCCCCCTTCTTCTGAAATTTCGGGGTTAGGGGACCGCAAAAATTTTGGGAAGCATACCAAAAAATTTTTTGTCCCCCCCCCCGGGCGGTAATCCTGGGTACGCCAATGGGTGACTCGTATTTTATGGTATGGAGCCAGTGGGCCCATATCTGGTATAGTAGGATTATTGCGAAAAGGTCAGGATATAATCGTACGGAAAGTTCCCCCCCCCCCCCTTTCCACAGTATACAAAAGGCGGACGTACGTGCGAGACTTCATAGCTGGTCGTATTGTTCACACCTCGCCCTCAGAATTGCTCATCGTGTGAAAAGTCACTCACCCGGATTTTTAAGAGTTTTTCGAGCTTTTTCAAGGTGTAACCACAATTCTGTCGAACATTGGAAAAAACAATCGCTACCCTTAACCTGAAATAATATATGAAAGAAGCATTGTATTGATGTGCTACTTTCATTATGAGAATCAGCGACTTCGATTAATCCAGAGCACGAGTTTCTGGCTTGTTTGGTCTTCCCTTTGAGGCAAAAATTGCTTTAGATTTCCTAAAACCCATGTCGAAGTTCCTACCGTAATCCTACAGTAATGAAGAGCGATCATCACTCTTCAGTATACCACCGTTGCAACAAAAAATATTATTCGCGTAACAATCACATCGAATAAGCCCTCTATGCAAAGTATCAAGCGGATAACGTACAGGACTTTCGACCTTACACCTACCGTACTCCGCTATTTCCATATCAGAGGAGCCCCGCGTCGAGCTGAGATAAATGGTATTCTTGGATACTCTTAGATTCAGAATTCGTCCATTCTGAATGAGGTATGCCGATGCGAAGCAGATTTTGGTGACTGCATGCATATACATCTCAAAATAAAAAATTTTAGGTAATCGCTTGAACTATTCTGAAAAAAAGGTGGAACACAAATCATGTGAAAGGTAAAGTACAGAAACTCACCTCTGGCGTTGGCAAAAATTGAGTGACAAAGAATGGTTTCATATTCCCTTTGGTGTTCTTTTTACTATAACGATCTTATTCGTATGACTCATTCGACAATTCTACAGTTGCCGCCTCCTCTGCGGGCTCTGTGGTAATGATGTGGACACTTCAATGTAATATCGAATCCATGACGAAAGCGATCACCCAAATAGACAGATTTTGTGATGTATCAAAGCTCCGTGAAGTGAAATAAGCTAAATGCCTTATGATAATGTGCTGAAAAGTGGATTATACAATGCAGGCATATCAGCGATCAGGACAAAATTACTTGAGCTTTACATACTATAATCATTTCGGAAACGGCGTGCACAATTCTTCTGACTTGGCATTCTTCAATTCTGAGAATACCTAATGTTAATGTGGAAGTGAGTCAACTATTTTTGATCTTACCGCCAACCAGTGTTCAGGCGCAAAGTACAGTTTTTATGAGTGGTAACCGAGTGGATAAGAGTTGGACTCGGAAAAATGGCATATACTTTTTATTTTTGTCGGTAAAAATAGCAAACTTTATTTGCAACAATAGCAGAATTTATACTTGGATTTGACACACTTTTTTTGAATGACTCGGGAAAGAGCCATATTAATTGCCTTTTACTTGTTCAAAAATTGGCGAATGAGAAAAGAGGCTTGAGAAAGTGCGAAGATTTACAATAGTTTGGCCAACTTAAAACTGATGGTTTACGGGTGTATTAATATCCGGCAAGGGCAGTGTGTTTTAGTCAGTCTCTCATGCTACTCTCAGCTGTTCTCCTGTCTGCACTTATTTATGCAGCACTTGTTGATGGAAGAATAGTAAGGTAATGTTCAAGTAGATATACCAAATTGTTTGTATCATTTTACGAAGAAGACCGATATTTTAATATATGCAATGCAAGACGGTGGTTAAGGGAATTATATTAGGTTGTCAAGAAAATAATGTCGTTTTTTATTTGCTTGCTTCAATAAAGCAAACAGGCTCAACACTACAAAGGGTAAGGGATACTGTTCGATAGAGCAAAGCTAGCTCTACAAGATAGCATTCATAATATTGCGCCAAGTTTGATCCACCGAAAGTTTGAACTCAAAATCTAAAAATTTCCAAATGCCTAAACACCCATATGTGCAGATGCTGTGTTTTTTCCTTAACTAGAAACAGAGAAAACGAAAATTTCCATGATTTTCTCAAAGCAATGATGAGCCGTTCTTGCATATGTAGTTCTATAGTACAAGCCTAGGTAAGTATAACTGTGAATTTTCAGCCCATTCCAAGGTTTTCGAGAAATATTGGATTCAGCTCCATTCTTTTCAGTTTCAGTGCTAAAATCGACATTTCTCGAAAACTACCACTCGGAATAGGCTGAAAATCTACAGTTACGTTAAGCTAAACTTATAGTATAGAACTGCATATGCAAGAACGGCTCAGCATTGCTTCGAGAATATCATAATAATTTTCGTTTCCTCAGTTTCGAATCGGGAAAAAAATACAGCAACTGCACATATGGGTGTCTGATATCGAAAATATGGACGTGTGTAAATGGGAGGTCCGTAAATATTAGGTTGATTCATAATTAATGCACGTTTTCTATACTTCAACTTTCAACCGAGATAATTCTTTTTTGAAAAGACATTTCTGAGCGCAATAAAAACTACTGTAACCATCAATTTAGTGGCTATAAAACAGATACTTTTGAATAACTGTATCTATCACAAAAAAGATTTTCTGGCCTGAAGATTGCCAGCAGCTTTTTTCAGAATCTCCTATTTTGAGAGAGCATAACTTATGTTCAAATGAAGTAGGATAAAGCAGACTTCGCTCGTCGTGTAGCCAAAGGTATCTTGAGCAGTAATGCCAAGTTTGGATTTTACGGAAATTTTTTGAAAGAAAATATCGCAAAAAAGTCGAAAGTACTCACTTTTATGTATTGGCATCTCGGCGGATTCAAAAATTGGTCATTTTTGAAATTATTTCATTTTTCTCTGCTCAAAAGTGAGAAAACCCTAGCACTTTTCTATCATCAAATGAACTAGGTCTACCCTTGCTAAATAGTGTAAAAGATCTGCAGTTGCCTGTTGCTTTGAAGTTTTATATGGCACGGAATCGCCGCGACGATCATTCAAGTTCGCAATTGAATTTCTCACTCAGAATCTATGGAATATTTCGTTCAAATAGCATCTTGTAGCACAAAGCCTCCTTATCCTTACGCATATTTTTTGAAATTAATCCAGGTATTCCTCATGAATTTAGGGCAAAAAGAGTGAAAAGCAAAAATTTTGAGAATTCGTTTATTTCATTTGAAGGCTTAGAACTTTGGAACGAAAGGAGCTTTACAAAAGCCAAGACCTAAGTAAGAAACTAGAATACGCTCTTTTAGAAAGCTCAAGAAGTTTTTGAGCAAATTGACTACACATCAAATACCAGTTATTGGAAGAAGAGATGAGAAAAACGTGCATTAATTTTGAATCAACCTAATATTATCTGGACTGAGATCTGATTTTGTTCGATTTTTAGGCATTTGGAAATCTTTAGGTTTTGAGTACGAAGTTTCCATGGATCGAACTTGGCGCAGTATTATGAACGCCATCTTGTAGAACTTGCTTTGCTCTATCGAACAGTATCCCTTACACTTTGTTGAGTTGAGCCTGGTTGCTTTGTTTAAGCAAGCAAATAAAAAACGACATTATTTTCTTGACAACCTAATAATAACTCGTAAACTAAGTAACCACGAACATCTCTGTTTCGATTAATCCTTCAAGGAGAGCATAATCTAAATCTCATTTTTGAGAAAAAAACTGTAGATGTTGAGGTAACACACAGAGTCGAGGTTTTAGCTACAGCAGAGAATACACTCTGTTATCACCGATCAGTTCAGGCGTCAAATTTAAGCGAGATTCTCAAGTGAACTGCTCATGGAACAAACGATTTGTCGGTCTCAAAAAATCATTAGTACCAAGTTTTATGACTTGCCTTTTTTTACCTGAGCAAAATTTGTGCTGACTGAGCTTCTCCAAGAAAGTTGATGATTTTATTTGAGAAAGGCCAAAAATCAAGTAGTTTGGTGCTGCTTTGGTCGAAACTCTTTCCATAGAAGAGTCAAAGCAAACTTGCTCAGATAGAGAGAGCAATTCGTAAAACTAGTGGTACCAACTGCTTTGATTTGTGGTGCAAGGTGCACAGAAAAATCAGTGATTTTTATAAAATTTTGTACATGTTGAAAGATTTTCAAATGCGACAGCAAAACGCATAATCTTCTTTCTTAGATGAATCAGGCGTAATGAATCTTTGAAAACGGTGCAGCTTTTGCACCAACTAATGTCTGCACTTCACTAGCAAGCGTTAGATTTCGTGTTATTCGGCGTGTCCTTCATGAATCATCTTTCCAAGGAATCTATCTTCATACTGTGAGTCAATTCAGACCGTATCCTGCCAATCATGCATTTGAAATGCTACCAAAATCTTAGCTTGACTTGAAAGTGGAAGACTTTGATGACCACAGCACAACTTTAGAATATCGAGGTAACAAAAGTCCTATTTACTTTTAGGCAACGACGATGTATTGGCACCGGCTGTACAACCACAACTACAAGTAGGGTAACGAAGGTGATTACTGAGACTACCTACGTGGACCCACCCACGACTTATGTGCAACCGACGACCTATATGCGACCACCACCGCCGCCACCACCACCGCCACCTTGTTATCATCATTGGTGTCATAGAAGAAGACCCTGGGGAGGATGGTATCCACCACCGCCGCCACCACCACCACCTCCTTGTTATCATTATGGGTGTCATAGAAGAAGACCTTGGGGAGGATGGTATCCACCACCTCCTATGCCTCCTCCTATGCCCCCTCCTATGCCTATGCCAATGTGTTCCAGGCCTCCTTGTTATTGGTGATATCGAAAAAACTGTGTGGTAGCTCTTAATGAACTTACATTGAGAAATCGAATGATTATTTCTTGTATATGCATAAAGGATAAGTCTAATGAACATGTCTGAATTTACATCCTATACAGGGTGTCCCAAAAGCCTTTAAGTCTGTATTTCCGCAGCTACTATTTGAATGAAGCAACGAAATTTTCTCCAATGTCCTCGCAAGCCTGCACTAACTTGAAAAACACAAATACCGTCGCTTTCCAAGATGGAAGACTCTTGCAGATGGGTAGTTGACGTAGAGAGAGTCTCAGGCTTGCAGGAACACGCGCTCCAGACCGTCCAAATTCTGATGAAAAACAGTGCAGACCTTGCTTTTCACTGAGCACTTCAGAAAAGCCAAAAAATATAGCCTCGGCGATCAAAAGAGCCAAAACGGATCTCTAAGATTTTAAAAAACTGTCTAGGTGTTGCAATCAAATTTTTGAGTGCAGGAAAGCACTAGTCATGCCGTAACTAAACACTTTTTAAAGAACATCTATGGATGTGTGAAATCTAATTGAAGCTAACACGAAGAGGATAAAACTTAGACTCTCCTTCAAAAAAAAAATGGCACCTATACAATACCGCTCACATTTTTTGAAAAAAAAAAGACGCGAATGTATGGACATGTATGGACATGTACGGACACGTCCATACATGTATGGACATGTAGCGACATGTCCATACATGTCCATACATGTCAATACATGTATGGACATCACCGTAGCGTGGCCATATCTCGCTTCAGAGTGGACGAATTCTTAATCCAAAGCCGCCATTCGATTCAGCTCGGCGCGGAGAATTTTCTGATATATTGGAAGTGCGGGTACGATGTCTTCGATATTCCGTTTCCGGTTTTTTCAGTATGTCCTGCGGGGGTCCTTTCGCGAATATGTGAAGCAACGCCTACCCAACATAGAGGACTTTACTAAGTTCGATAATACTGTTCCATGTAGATTATTGTGCGCTAAGAAATAGGCTCAGACTTCTTTCCAAAGGAGATAGAAGCGTTGGTGAATTTTGGAAAAATTACGCGCTTTTAAATTCTACTCGCCATAACTTCCTTTGAAATATGTATTTTTTGAATCTTAAAACAGCGCCTGGCTCAGCTCATCAAGGCGAATCTTTTTATATGCAGCATGTCCTTGATATTTCGATCTCAGTATTCTTAAATCTTTCTGAGGACGTCTTTTCGCGAAGATGTAAAGCAGCGGGCATTGTCCCGAGTACATTCCAGCAAGGATTTTTCGGTAGTACTTTTCTTGTAGATTATGATGTGCTAAATAGTAGCCGCAGATTTCTTTTCAAAGGAAATAGAACGCTGGTGAATTGTGGGGAAAATCTTGTCGCCCCAAATTCTACTCGCCATAGCCCCAGGATACTAAGCTATTTTGCTAAGCAGATGTGAGTTTCGAAATCAGCAGGCCGGATAACCTCTACGATCAAGTTTTCCGATATGTTCGGGTTATTTCATTTTTTTCTCGTTTTACGCTCCAGAAGCTCGCCGATGGATTTTGAGCAAAATGTCGATGCTCTTGAATTGTAAGGAAACTTCGCTTATAGAGGTTTTCGAACACGCTCTTTACGAAAATCGTGGTCTTTGAGGATTACTTTGGAAAGGTACGGTGAGGTGACTGCAACTGCAACGAAAGTGCGTAACTTCGCCCGCACTTCCCGCTTATCTGTCAGAAAACTTGCAAAGTTACTAGGAATTGTGCTATCGAATGGTGCATGACTCAGGCTCCAGTTTACAAAATTCGCCGAGTTACGAGCCTACGAGCGCTTGCACAACACGCTGATCAAATCCTTCCACATTTTCAATGGATCTTATTGTATTAGATTTGGTGCTTTGAGCTCTAGCCACGAAATAGCTTTGATATTCAATTGAGCAGCTGAAGCACACGCACGCACCAATTCAATACAGTGGGAGTCGTTGAACGAAGCGAACATAATATCTGCAACGAGCGTCATACAAGCGCTCACGGTGGAATTTCGAGGAAATATGAGACTTACATTTTGGGCAAAATTCATGAGGACGTGTTTTCGTAGGCTCGAGACTTAGCGAATTTTACAGACTGGAGCCTGAGTCATGCACCATTCGATAGCACAATTCCTAGCAACTTTGCCTTAGAAAAGCTAGCAGGCAAGTTTTCTGACAGTTACGCGAGAAGTGCGGGCAAAGTTACGCACCACCTCACCGTATCTCTCCGAAAAGACCCTGTAATCCTCAAAGACCACGATTTTCATAAAGAGCGTGTTCGAAAACCTCTATAAGCGAAGTTTCCTTACAATTCAAGAGCATCGACATTTTGACCAAAATCCATCGGCGAGCTTCTGGAGCGTAAAACGAGAAAAAAAATGAAATAACCCGAACATATCGGAAAACTTGATCGTAGAGGTTATCCGGCCTGCTGATTTCGAAACTCACATCTGCTTAGCAAAATAGCTTAGTATCCTGGGGCTATGGCGAGTAGAATTTGGGGCGACAAGATTTTCCCCACAATTCACCAGCGTTCTATTTCCTTTGAAAAGAAATCTGCGGCTACTATTTAGCACATCATAATCTACAAGAAAAGTACTACCGAAAAATCCTTGCTGGAATGTACTCGGGACAATGCCCGCTGCTTTACATCTTCGCGAAAAGACGTCCTCAGAAAGATTTAAGAATACTGAGATCGAAATATCAAGGACATGCTGCATATAAAAAGATTCGCCTTGATGAGCTGAGCCAGGCGCTGTTTTAAGATTCAAAAAATACATATTTCAAAGGAAGTTATGGCGAGTAGAATTTAAAAGCGCGTAATTTTTCCAAAATTCACCAACGCTTCTATCTCCTTTGGAAAGAAGTCTGAGCCTATTTCTTAGCGCACAATAATCTACATGGAACAGTATTATCGAACTTAGTAAAGTCCTCTATGTTGGGTAGCGTTGCTTCACATATTCGCGAAAGGACCCCCGCAGGACATACTGAAAAAACCGGAAACGGAATATCGAAGACATCGTACCCCCACTTCCAATATATCAGAAAATTCTCCGCGCCGAGCTGAATCGAATGGCGGCTTTGGATTAAGAATTCGTCCAATCTGAAGCGAGATATGGCCACGCGACGGTGATGTCCATACATGTATTGACATGTATGGACATGTATGGACATGTCGCTACATGTCCATACATGTATGGACGTGTCCGTACATGTCCATACATGACCATACATTCGCGTCTTTTTTTTTTCAAAAAATGTGAGCGGTATTGTATAGGTGCCATTTTTTTTGAAGGAGAGTCTAAGTTTTATCCTCTTCGTGTTAGCTTCAATTAGATTTCACACATCCATAGATGTTCTTTAAAAAACGAATATTGGATTTGGAGTCAGAACTCGTCCACTCTGAAGCGAAATATGGCCACGCGACAGTGATGTCCAAACATGTAGCGGCATGTCCATACATGTCCATACATTCATACAATCGCGTCTATTTTTCAAAAAATGTGAGCGGCATTGTATGATTCCAAAGCAAAACAGTAGCATCCATGTTCGACTGTCCATAAATCTTGGCATAGTTGCAATCTTCTTGTTAGTCGCTTGAGCGAAGTCCAAGATTGGTACAGAACTTTATCGCACAGAATAACAGACTAACGTTTCGGCAAACTCGCTTTCTTCAGAGTCTGAAAAGTCGAAGACACATGAGTTCCGATCAAACACCTCGTCGACTACAGAAAGGAGCCCAACCCTCTAATAAAAACAACAGCCTTAACCAAAACCAAGATTAAGCCAGTGCTCACCTTAACAGATGAAAATTTGGCGGGTGCAGACCACTTATGTCAAAAGCTGTACTGCCTTACTTTTATAGTTAACTAGTGACCCGATTCTGACCTGACCTGATTATTCAAAAGCCACAGAGGCTCTGATAAGGGGACAGCTCGTTAGTAATGGCTAGACACTCGTCCTTCCGGTTAATTTTTGGATTTTGGGCGGCTATCCAAAACGCTTCGAGTGTCTTGCGCGCTAGGATCTCGGGTTCACGCGCCAGGATTCGAACCTGCACTCTCACCTCCGCGTTGTCATGGCTGAGCCTCCGGCATGCCTAACGAAGTTAGCTGCGCTGCCCTTGCTGAGACCATCTTAGTGTTCTTTGATGCGCGTGCATAGGGGGCGACCCGTCTCGCCAATATACGTGTCGCCACATGATGTACACGTGATAAGGTAGACAACACCTGATACCATACAGTCACCTTCCTTGCCGAATGGACAAATCACACAATTAGACGTTGTACAGAGACGATCGTACTCCCGGTTTCGTACTAGCTGCTGTTTAAGGTTTGCAGGCGGAATGCCGACGATCCTTACAATATCGTTGAGGCCTGCTTGATGAAGTAATCTGCGAACAGCCCTACTAAACTCTTCTGAGATATATGGTAGACAAAATGGGATTTGATCTTCAGCTTCCGATCTAGGCGGTGTATGATGGACTCGGTATCTGTAAGAATGATAAGCTTTTGTGTTGTATCCATTAGACCTTGCTACTGATTCTGCAAGCTCCAGCGAACGCATTTTCTCGTCCCTATCAGAAGAAACCCCCGCAGCCGTTCTAAACATGTTTCCTATGACGAATGCCTTTATTCGAGCGGGATGTGCTGAAGAATGGTGTACTAAGATGTTTTTGCTGCTAGGCTTCCGGTACCATCTGGTCTTGAACCCTCTGCCCGATGAACATAACTGTACGTTGAGGAACGGCAGCCATCCATCTTTGGGTTTTTCCCTCGTCATCTTGATGTTGGCGTCCT